TATACTCACGCAACATTTTCTATCTTAATCAGTCCATCCAACCGGGATTGATCCATAATGGCTGATGACAAAGAATGATCCGTAAATTGCGTAAATTTGTCTTAGCCGTCTAATATCAACCAGGATAATAAATCTATCGGCTCTTACTTTATTTTGTAACTTAATGTACGCAAAATGCCGGATTATATTGGGTATGGGAATAAGATTCCGCCCATTGTAGAAAGATGTCGTTAGTAGCATTGCTTGTGTGTTTGATAGAACGGCAACACATGTGTTTGAAAGGTTTGTGTTCAAACTTTTAATCCCAATAGTTGGCATTCGTTCGAAGCGTAAAAAAGAGTAACCTTTTTTGCGTTGAAGATGTCGGAATTTATTCCAAAAAAGCAACATTTGCGGGAAGTTTTACTCCATTATTTTATTTTAAAGAAAAGTGCTGCAGAATCGCATCGTTTGCTCGTAGATGTTTACGGTGAACATACTTCATCGAAAACCAGTTGTAAAGAATGGTTTCGGCGATTCAACAGTGGTGATTTTGACGTGCGTGACAAAGAACGCGAAGGTGCACCGAAAAAAATTTGAAGATGCAGAATTGCAAGCATTACTCGAAGAAGATTCATTTTATCGCTCGATAGGTTGTCAAAAGAGTTAAATGTTGATAGATCCACTGTTGGAAAACGTCTACACGCAATGGGAATGGTGCAAAAAGAAGGAAATTGGGTGCTATACAAATTGAAAGAGAAAGACATGGAAAGACGTTTGATCATCTGCGAGATGCTTCGTCAACGAAAACAAAGAAAGGGTTTTCTACATCGTATCGTAACTGGCGATGAAAAATGGATCTACTACGATAACCCTAAATGTTTGAAAGCATGGGTGATGCCAGGTGAACCAGGTCCATCAACGCCAAAACGAAATATCCATGCTTCGAAGATTATGTTGTGCATTTGGTGGGATCAGAGAGGTGTTATACAGGGTGGACCATCTGAAGTGATCCAGTCAAATATCTCGAAAACTAGTAGGGATAGAGAAAAATGTTTC